CTGGTGCAGTCATCGTTCGAGAGGTACTATTCTTATTCGCTCATATTTTCTTGGAAGTTTTTGTTTGTTTGAACTAATATTTCAAAATATTCTTCAGTAATTTGTAACGCCGATTCATTGCTCTTTATTGTATGCGGAAAAGATCGTTGTTCATCGATAGTGAAAACATATTTTGTGGAATGTAGGAAAATTAGAACAAATTTGCAATTGAAAATATTTATTGTTTTACTTCAATTTCCGTTCGTTTAGCGCTAAGAACGACTTGGAAAAAACCACATCCGAGTTGAAAAACGTTCGTGAAGAACTGGAAAATGCATCATCAAGGGTAACATAAAATTCTTTTTCATCTGTTTTTTCGTTAACTTATTTAGAAGTCACGAAAATTTTTTATTTTTTCGCTTCATCACGAAAATCATTCAGATAACACAATTGGAGAAGAAGAACGAGGAACTATCAAAAGATCTCGAAGAGTGTGCAAATAAAGCGAAACAAAATGAAACTTCATTGAAGCAAACACTTCAAGAACAAATTCAAAAGTATGTTCGTTGTGAAGATTTGGCTGATCAGTTTTTTATCGCCTTATCATATGATTTTCGCAGTCGATATGCAGATGTTCAAATGTGTTTTTGAGTTTTGCATGCTTAATTTTTTTGCGTTATGAAATGATGTCGTACTTAATGGAAATGTAACGTAATTGAGCAGTTCCAAAGCATGATAAACATCTGCTCGCCTATCCATTAGGATGAATTGTTATAAAATGTGATTTCATGGGATCTTTGTAAACGGTTGATGGTGCGTCATCTCATTGATCATGCATTGGATCATTTTCATGACAAATGTTGGTTGCTATAGTAGGTCGGAAACTTATAACCGTTCATTTTGAGGTCAGAATCTGAAAGAAACGAATTCCAGCGGTCGTACGATGAATTGCAGTCCACTCAACAAAAATTGCACTCAGAAAATGAGAATTTGCATGAAGAGGTAGGTATCTTTATATATAAATCGGTATGGTTTAGAATGTCGAATTCTTCGCCAGAAAAAAGCATGAAGTTCTGATTTGTGAACTTCGGTTGAAAGAACAATATTTCAGGTAGTTAAACTAACTGCTTTGATCGAGCAGTTTAAAAGCGATGGNAAAGTTGCAGAGGCAAAAATATCTCAACAACTGAAACAAATTGAAGAGCTTAGTAAAACTATTGAGCAGTACGTTCATTAGTTCTTTTCATTTATATTTCAGATTCGAAATGATTCAAATGTGAGAAAAGTATCATCAGGATTCTCGGTTTTCACCTGAACTGATCTTTCGTAATTAAAACTGGAGAAATTTCATGCTGAATGATATCTATGGAAGTTTTTTCTTCAAGCTGAGCAAACTATGTTCAAGTTGCAAGCGTGTATGGTTTTCATTCAATTTTTTTTCAGATTGAAATCTGAGAGTATCTCATTGAAGGAATCGTTGGGCTCGACGGATGCTTCAAAACAACTTTTGATCTCTGAGAAAAGTGAATTGCAGGATAAGGTTACGATACTTTCAGTTTCGGTTCCACATTTTTTTGCGCAACCGATTGAAATTGTTTTATTTTTTAAAATTTATTTATTTTGGGTTTCATCACTGACTTGTTCAGGGTCAGTACAATTTTAGATTTCAAAGGTAGTATAATTACGGTTTCGTATAAAACTGAATACGAATGATTGATGCGATAAGAATAGACGAATCTTATTTCGAGCGATATGTTTCGAATAAGTTGATGCGCAGTGCTAGATGAAATGAAATGTTTTCATTTTAGATTAGTGAACTGAACGAGTTGAATGCAAAATTGAGCTCGGAGCACAAATCTGCATTGGAAAATGTTTCCCAGCAGTCGCAACAAATCGACCATCTAAACTCCGTTCTCGAAACGTTAGTTTCAATCGCAATTTTTCAGTCACAACTTTAAAAAAGTAAATTTACTAATGTCAATTTGTTGAACATCCGAACGAATCTCAATAGTATCAGAATGCCGCATTCAGACTGAAAAACGAACATGCTGAAAGTGATGTCGCTGTCAGAAACATCGAACAGGCGAAATGTTCACTCGAATCAACGTTACAAGAAATTAAGAAAAATAACGAACAACTTCAAACAAAAGTCTGTTTTACTTGAAGTTAACGCGTTTTCTGGTTTTTTNTAAGAAAAATAACGAACAACTTCAAACAAAAGTCTGTTTTACTTGAAGTTAACGCGTTTTCTGGTTTTTTAGTCGCAGTAATTTCTCACTGAGAAATAAATCGCCGTTTATGGTCATCTAATGGTTAATTCATTGTGCAGAACAATGGATCTGAAATTATTATATTTTGAGGAATTCATATGATTGAGGATGAATAATATATTTGGTTCTGTTTTATCAACTGCTTTCAAAATTCTTCATTCTTTGAAATAATAGTTTTAAATTTGCTTACCAGAATGGCATAATCTTATTTTAAAGTGTTCCGATTTGGAAAGTGAGCGAAAACATTTGAGTGATGTGATCAGTTTAAAAGATGAGCAGATGAATTCCCAAGATTCCAATTTGAAACAATTGTCGAGCCAAGTTGAAAGGTAAAAATTCTTTTCAAAAATTTCGAATCATTCATCACAACTTGACTTTGTGCCATTATCAACATTAGTCTTCGTTTGACAGTTTCAAAAACGCATTTTTTTGAGTCAGATACGATCGAAGTCATTTTTGTTAATCGAGGATGAATTACATCAGTATTTTCCGTGTGGATGGACGTTGAAATGCAACGTATTGAAATTTGAATGGAAGTACTGATAGTTATGTGTCTGTGAATGCGAATTTTAATTGTTTTCCTCAATNTGAAGCAAGAGTTCAGTTCACTGAAAGAGGCGTATGAGAAATTGCAAACGGAAAGTCAATCGAAGTTGAGTGAATTCATCCGTGAAAATTTTCGTTTGTTTGTATTTATGGTGACGAATCAATTGGTTTTCGGAGTGTCGACTATCACAATGTCCTACTCTTCCATGAACTTGACTTTTTATTCGTAGACCATAACGGAATTACTCTGGTCATTTTCTGCAAGCTGTGGAAAACATAAATGAAATCTGTTTGTCTGTAGGAGAAACTGAATCTTAGCGTCAGCTTATGCGACGAGAAAGAATACCACAGCTGTCGCTTTCATCGTTATTGTCGGAATTATGCTATGCTTATTGACAGATCTGCATTTACTTCGTCGGAAGAATCAGCTTTAAGTAAATGTTTCGTAAATATCCAAACGTTTTTGCATCAAATGCGTTTTAGATCGATGAATTGGCATCGTCGAAGGAACAAGTTTCGAAAGAATTGATTTTAGCTGTCGATAAACTTGGATCGGTTGAAGGTGATCGAGGAACACTGGGAAGCTCACTGCAGAGGTGTTTTGATTAATTGAAATGCAAATCATTATTTAAAGCGTTTTTTCATGATTTTCATGATAGAATTCTGTGAGGGTCATGCATGATATAGTGTATACCACGATAGGTTTACAATTTGTTAAGTGCTATTTTCGACCGATTTATCATTGGATAAACATTTTTTTTCAGAAATTTCTCCACTTCTTAAGAATGAATGCTTTCTTCCATAACGACATGATTCTATCACTTCAGTTTCCGAAATGCAATATCTATTTTATGATTTTTCGCAGTGATTGTAAGGTTTTATTCACATACTTGCAGTGTGAAGAGCGATTTAGATAAAGCGAATGCTGAACTTGTAAAATTACGAGAAAGTGAGGGTAATTTACGAATCGAGGTTGATCTTAATCCTCTTTNTATCATTTCTTTGTTATTCTTTTACTCAGAGGACATGAAAATATTTTTTATGAGTGTTCTTGTTGAAAAACGTCGATCGAGAATTTTTCAACTTAGAACACAAATCTCATGATGCTACTGAGAGCATAATGGGGGGGGGGATGTTCATAATCTGAAACTTTCTGAAAAGGTGGCAAGTTCTTTGAAGAAGAAACTTGATTAAAAGTCGTTCTGGCGGTATTATTAGCGTTTCTATGATGAGCCATTGCCTGTTGTATAGAAGTTCGTTTTTTTTGTTTGCTGAATGTCGCATTTTTGTGATTTATTTTAATTTTATCATTACTCGATTGATGTTAAGGTGGAAAAGCTGAAAGAGAATGCCATTCAAACTGAACAAAAACTGAATGTGGCGAATTCAAAATGCGGCGAAATGGAGAGTAGAAAACTTGAGCAGCAGACTGTGATGGAAAGGTGAACGCGTATAATTTCATTTCGATTTTCATTCAATACATCTTGATATTGTGTTGAAATAAATCAAATATTAAAGTATCGCGACATTCAATCAGATTATTATTTTTAATCTCAGTAACCTTATCGAAACGAATCTCCAAATGAATAAATAATTTTGCTTC